GCAGTGCTGTGGAAAAATTGGGAGTTGTGCAGCACAACTTTAATTGCAACACTAAGGAGGCATAGGCAGGGTGATCTCTGGCACTTTGAGGCACTTACTGTATGGTAAAAGCTAGAATTCAATTTTTTAATGAAGTGGTTATATGTAGATTTTTTCAATCCCCATGAATGATTTATCAAATTTTATGTGTTTGTTGATTGACTGGGGGATCATGATCAAATGCAAATTCTGACTCATTTGATTTGCAGTTATGCTTCTGGGTGGTACTGAAATCTTACCACACTCTGGGTAGCAATGCTCTAGGTAATTCCTGGGTCATAAAGCTGTGATGAGAATGGAAAACCATCTCAAATCTCTGTCTGTCCTCATAGGAGATTAAACAGTTCTTTTCCTACTTCTACCTGAAGGATCTCTCAGGGCTCTAGCACTTCTAAATCTGCTTTCTGCTTTTCCAATGTATAATTCATTTCAATTCCACCTGAAAGAGGAAAGTTTGATAACCTTTGTGCAGTGAGCAAGCTTCCCATTTAGTCATTATACTCCCATGACTTATGTGAACCCAAGGTCACACTTTCTAGTGCAATTCCTTAATTTATATGTTTTCAATTGATGAAAGGTCAAATGACTGACTCAAGGTCAATTATTCAATAACTATAAAGGTCATGTCTCAAATCCCAATTTCTGAATTAAAATTCAATCCTCTTTGGCCAATTTATGTCTTGCTTCTAATAACAATGCATGTCACAGGAGACAAACTGGATAATTTAGATATAAAATATCAATTCTGAATTGAATACCATATCCTTGGGTTTCCACTACAATTCTTGAGAGGAACATAAGTGTTGTGGAAGTAAGTTACTATAAAGAGGGAGGTTTTGTGTTTTAAAGGAGACTTGGAATTCTTCATCAAATTGTGATGTCCACCTTTCTAAATTATGAGATAAGGGCATGTGGGAAAAGACTTGAATGTCTCACTGTGGTGAATGGTTGCAAGATGTATGTATCTTAGACTTCTCCATCTCTAATGCTTCAGCCAACCACATGTGGGGGCCAGAAGCAGATGAGAATGTCCACATTAACAGCTTTCATGAATAATTTCCACTAGGAAAAATAAATGATGACAATACCATCTGTCACTGCTGTCATTGTCAATCCCATCCACCCAACTCCATGCTCTCTGTCTCTCTGTCTGTTTCTCTCTCTCTTTAGAAAGCAAACAGACAAAAATAGAATACATACAAACAAATACACAAAAAGATAAGATAGAAAACCATAATATGTAGACAAAAATAAAAGAAGTCCAGTCCACAAAATGCTAATGAGATGACTTTGTATCTATTTTGTTTTGCCTGGCAAAGTGCCTATTTTTAAAAGTGATTAATAGAAGAAACCATCCTGAGTGAGATAACCTAGTCACAAAAAGACACACATCGTATGTACTCACTCATATATAAATTTTAGACATAGAGCAAAGAATTACCAGCTTACAATTCACACTGCCAGAAAAACTAGGAAACAAGGAGGACCCTAAGAGACACATACATGGTCCCCTGGAGAAGGGGAAAGGGACAAGATCTCCCAAGCAAATTGGGAGCATGGAGGCAGGGAGAGGGAGTTAGGAGAATGAGAAGGGGAGAAGAGGAGGGGAGAGGTGGGCATGAGGGAACAGGAAGATTGGGACAGGGAAAGACTAGAGGCAAACAAAAAAAAGAGATACCACAATACAGGGAGCCATTATAGATTTAAGGAGAAACTGGGAACTTGGGAAATGCCCAGAGATCAACAAGCATGACCCTACTTAACAGTCTGTGCAATACTAGAGAGGCTTCTCTGATAACGAGATTGATGACTACCTTATATGCTTCATCTAGTAGCTGATGGGAACAGAAGCAGACACCTGTAGCTAAATACTGAGTCAAACTCCTGAAATCCAGTTGCAGAGATGGAGGAGTGATAAGCAAAGGGGTCAAAACCAGCCTGGGGAAACCCACAGAAACTGCTGACCTGAACAAGTGGGAGCTCATGAACTCCAGTCTGGTAGCTGGGAAACCAGCATAGGACTAACCCAGACCCCTTGAATGTGTGTGTCAGTTAGGAGGACTGGGAAGTCTATAGAGCCTCTGGTAATGGATCAGTATTTATCCCTATTATACAAATGGGTTTTGGGAGCCCATTCCACATAGAGGGATTCTCTCTCAGCCTAGACATATGAGGGAGGACCTAGGACCTGCTCCAAATGATATGAAAGACTTTGAAGACTCCCCATGGAAGGCCTCACCATCCCTGTGAAGCAGAAAGGGAATAGATAGGGGAGGATGGAAGGGTGAGAAAACTGGGACTGACATGTAAACCAACATTGTTTTAAATTTAAATTTAAAAAGGGGAAAAAAGAAAAAAGTGACTAATATATCCATTGAGAGTCCATTAATTAAAACAAAATTTTCCATTGCATGTAGGTGTCATTGCAGATAAATTCTTAGTCATGGTGGGTTTCCATGTACCCTCCCCTATCTAAATGCTGGGGGCCTTCACTGGCTAGTTTTATGTCAACTTGACACAAGCTAGAGTCATCTGAAAGGAGGGAACCTCAACTGAGAAACTACCTACATAACTTTCAGTTGTAGAATATTTTTTCTTAGTAAGTGATTAATGGAGGCTGGCCCACTCTATCTTAGGTGAAGCCACCCTTCTGCTTGTAATTGTAAGTTCTATAATAAATCAGGTTGAGCAAATCTGATGAGCAAGCTGATATGTAGCATGCCTCCATGGCCTCTGCATCAGCTCCTGTAGCAGGTTCCTGCTTTGTTTGAGTTCTTGTTTAATTTCTTTCAATGATCAACTATGATGTAGAAATGTAAGACAAATAAACCATTTCTTTCCCAACTTGCTTTTCATAATGGTGTTCCATCATGGCAATAGTAACCCTACCTAACACAGACTCCATCTAGCTTGAAACAATGTGGTCCTGATCATGTTGTTATACTCTGTGTGAGTTCATATGTGTATCTGTCCTGTGGTATCTGAAAGATACTTTTCCCTTAGTCATCTATCCCCTCTGGCTGTTATAATCTTTCTGACGTCTGTTCCTGAGGATCTGATAGGAGCCCTGTGAGCCCTGAGGTAGGGTTTGATGCAGACATACAATTTAGAATTGAGTGTTCCCAACTGCTCAGTCTTTGAACCTTGACTGCTTGGATGGCCATAAACTTTAGACTGAATGTTCATCAGGTCTAAGGGAAAAGCAAACACTATTGTTCCATCTAAAAGAACATAGCAATAAGATGACTCCTGATGAGATTCTACTATAACCAAAGATCAAATTCTTGCTCAACCATCACCATAGAAGCTTCGTCTTACAGGAGATGGGAACTGAATAGTGTGCAACTATACTTTAATTCAAGAGTGAGTGTTTATTTCTTGTACTTTAAATATTTTCTTATTCTTATCTGTATTGCTTTTGTTGTTTGACTCTTTGATTTCTAGACACACAGAGAAAGTGTCGTATAGTCAAATGGGTGGGAGTTGGGAGGACATGAGAGGAGAAGGGAGAGGGGAAGCCATGATCAGAATATGTTGTATGAAAAATTATTTTAATAAAAAATAGACATTACTTTGGCAAAAAAGGAAGCCAGTAATTTTGCTGGCTTTTGAAGCCTACCATGAGAAACATGTAGTTCTTCTTTCAGAGATGTCTGTTGTGTGTACTATGTACAAGAAGTTAATGCTTTAGTTATAGGGGAGGAAGAATGTCTCCCCCAGGCCATGCAGCTGGTAACACATCTTTAAGGAGTGTTTATCATATTTCCATCATGAGATTAAGATAATAAAATGAACCACAGATACAGAGTTCCTGTCTTAGTCTTTATAGATATATTTTGAGATGTTTCCATGTGGACAATGAGCAGGGGTCCTACCTCCAAGGGCAATCAACCTTGCCACTTCTGAATCTTATGTATGAAAACTGAATAGCCTCTAATTTGCTTGTTAATGATCTGAGACTTAGAGATCACTCCAGGAAGGCTAGGTGCCAGTTGTAAGGAACAAGATGTTTAAGTACTACAAGAACCTTCTCTAGAAGTTCTACAAATTCCTGACTCTGGAAACATTGTAGGGAATCACAGAACACTTCCAATGTCTCAGAGCTATTAATACTGCTCTTGGGGTTAGAAAATCTGACTAAGGCTGATACGTCAAGATTTGTCTTCTATGTTCCAAACTATTGTCCCAAGTATCATTTTCATATTAATTGGTGATATTTCATATCCACTCTTCCTACCTCATACTGTGTCCCATCCTACCTTGTCGCCCTGACACACACACACACACACACACACACACACACACACACACACACCACACCACACACACACACACACACTTTGAAAATCCCTCATGCAAGTGGCCACCACTATAATACCATCCTGCAACTGCTGTAATACCATCCTGCAGCTCCAAGTTTATTGTGGCCTTCCTTCATGCTTGGCTACACAGTTGTTAAGGTCCTATACCACTCATCGTGTATTTTTATGTATGTTGAACTTGGAAAGGTTTTTCTCTTAGAGACGTTGCTATGTTATAGAAAACACTGAGTTGTTATATATTGTTCAGGATCTAGAATACCCTCTATTGTTTGAGCATTGCTTATTAAGTTGATCACCAGAATAATTACTAGAAGAATTAGCTCTTTTTCTGGAGAATATAGCTTTATGGACAAGGATGAAGGAAACAGACAAATATTATAACATGACAGACAACATATCAAAATATCAAAAGTTAAATTGAATAACAATGACAAGGGCTAGCAAGCAAATTACTAGTCACATAGATTATGGGAACTGAAAAAGCACTCATCATAGTACTGTGGAGAGAGGCAGCATGAGGCAAATGCTTGGGCTCTGTGTTGCTCTTCAGATCTATGACTCGACTGCCAACAAGCAGGTTAATGACTTGTACACAATAGATCAATAAAAATAAAAGCACATTGAATATAAATAACTTACTGTGCTGACAGTGAATCCCATTAAACCCCCGGAGACATTTACAAACATAGCCTATGAACGTGTCTCCTCGATATGCTTCACTTATCTCACACGTTCCTCCGTTATGGCATGGGTTGGGGATGCAGGGACCTGGGAGACAGGAAAAAAAGGCTTCATGAGGCATCAGCTTAACAAAAGATACTATATCAACATTTTCAGTTGGCAATTTTCTTCTTGATATTCTATAGAAAAAGCACCAGGTGAGTGAACTCTGATGAACAGCCTGAATTTAAATATATGTGTTATTACCATTTAGAACTGTGATGTGGGGAAATTATTTCATTTTTCTGTTGCCTTGGTGTGGTCTTTTGACAAATATTAATGTAATGAAATTAATTTTAGTGGTTACACTACAGTTGAAAAGATTTCATATATTAAAATATGAAGAAGAGGACCAGGCACACATTATGCATTCAAAAGCAGCTGTAATTCAATTATTATTATTATCAGAATTTCAAAATTGTGGAACACTTTCTGCATGTTGAACAATTAATCCTGAGTTGTAGTTTCTAAAGAGCTTTTGACCTTGAGGATGCTAAAAGCATCTGAATCTACTAATGTATAGAAAGTCAAGTGAATAAATGATGCTTGCAGTAATTTATTAAATTTCCATAAATTTAAGGTAGAGAATGGCTTCAGAGAAACCTCACTGTCAACCTGAAATACAGTAGCTCATGAAGAGTTGTAGGTTTGAATTAATGGCTATGATAATCATCTTGTAGAAATATAAGAATGTAAATTCAATGACGATTTAAAACTTGTGCATAAAATAAAATCATTCAGCGATTTCCCTGGGCAAAACTGGCTGCTAATAGTTTGATTAGCTGGGAGCATCGAGCTACTTCTCTGTAGGATCTGCTGTAACAAAGTTCACTCCCAGTCACACTCCCGAGGCAATGACAGAGCAATGTGTGATATCACACTGGAACAGGCCCACCTGGCACAGAAGTCCAGAACACTTCAATGTTGTATTCTGCGCTTAGGAATATTTTGCAGGTACAGTTGTTTTTCTTGACAACTCTGCCAGTCTGAAGCTTTTTGTAGGGAATGATTCTTTTCTTCATTGATTTCTTCTTTCAGAAATAAAAGGTTGTGTCACAGTATGAGGGCCTGTGCTATGCACTCATGCTCTTCCAAACTCCTCTGCTCTTTATCAGAATTCAGTACAATATTCTACATACATTCAGTTTCTGGGAGTGTATGTTAAAGGTGTGAAGACAAAGCAGAATCTAGACAGATTACAGATTCAGGAAAAGAGTCTAGGGAAATCAGGGGAAAGTTTTCCCTGGATGATAAATTAAGACCAAAACCCCAAAATAGTTTATAAAGATTAGAATATAAGAATATTTCCTTGTCTAACTAGGAGATAAAACTGATGCCAAATAAGGCATCATGGAAAGTGTCTCTGCAAAAGAGTGGGTCCATGGGAGCCAAAATGAGATAGTGGTACACTTACTTACACTTACTTCGCCAGGTAAGTTAAAATGATTATCAGTTGAGAAGAACTAGGGAAAGTTGGGAGAGGTCAGTTGGGAGGAATTTGTTTTTTAAAGTACAGATACTAGAACACTTTGTGAGAAGAAAACCAGTTAAAAAAGACAGATGTATGCTGGTGTGAGAAAACTAATGTTAGGATAATGAAACTAAATGCCTGGTAATTCATGAGGGATGAATGCAGAGTTCTGGAGAAAGAGCAAGAACTTTCAGTTGAGACAAGAGGGAAAGTAAAGCATTGGATACAATAACACTTAAGACTTGGGACAACTAACAGTGGCTCCACCAAACAAGGTTGGTGAAGGGACACTAGCCCTCTAGAACATTTGGCTCTGACAGGCTTTGCATTCTGCCCCATTCCTTCTGCCTTACTAAAAAACACTAGATTTCATTTGTAAAGCTAGCCATCAAGGTCTATTCCCTTATTTCACCACTTCCTCCTCCTATGGATCACCACCAAGGTCCGGCTATCAAAGTGTTGAGGTGAAGCAATCAAAGTCCCCTTTGGCTCACCTAATTAACATACCCAGTTAAATTAAACAACTCATCCTAACATAGGTTTTCTCCTTTTACCTTTGTAAACCTCCTTGTTTTAGCCAAGCATTGGTAGCACATGCCTTTAATTTCAGAACTTCGGAGGAAGAGGCAGGCAGATCTCTGAGACTTTGAGGCCAGTCTGGTCTACACGGCAAGTTTCAGGACAGGCTCTAAAGCAATACAGAGAAACCCTGTCTCAAAAAAAAACAAACAAAACAAAAACATAAAATAAACCTCCATTTTTCCTATGTTCCACATCTCTCTCCTCTCTACCCAGGGCAAGTCCTTTGTCCCTCCAGGACACATCTCCCTGCTCCTTTTCCCTTCGTTCTTCTCCTTCTCTCTGACCTTCTGTCATATGTTTGTCTCTTATCCCCTGTTCTCTGTCCTTCTGGGGCAAATGAGTATTTTTGATGCTGAGAAATAGACCTTGGGGATCCCGAGTCAACACTTTTCCTTTCAGTTGGTAACAGAGCTCAATGGAAAATATGGACAAGGAAAGAAGGAGTTCATCATCTTCATTCAGAGCAGCATGGCATATTAAAATTGTAGTATGGTTGGAAACTGAGTAACATGATCCTGTGTTACTTAGAAAAAGTGACTACAATTTGAATAGTTTCTCCAGAAACTGTATAGATGAAAACTCACTCCATTTCTCTCATTCTAATATTGTACAGAATCAGTTGAGATTTATCTGAAATAGTCTACTTCTTGTATTTGAGAGAAGGAAGTGTCAGACCTGTGACAAGGGTTAGAGCAAAAGAAAGAATTCTCTCTCATTGCTAAGCATCATGTTTAACATTCCAGCTCTGCTCTCCCTTCTGCTTCTCCTGTTCTCTCTTCAAAATTTATCTAATAGTGGATCATGATGTAATTTACAGAAATTATCTCATCCACTCTTCACAGAAGCAGTGAGGTCCTTGTTCTCCTAGACAGTCTTGCCTATCATTGTTCTGATGTTTAATGGAAGACTGTAGGAAGTTGGTACTATTTAGCAGGTTAATATTTCCCAGTGATGCATTTAAACCTCAAAATCAGAATCTGTGATTCTAGGAGAAGAGATCCAAACAAAAGTGACACTAAGAGATTTCATGCATCAATTAACTTTCAAATAAGGAAAAAAACAAAACACCTCTTTTAAATAACTAGAAACTGATAGTCATATATATATATATATATATATATATATATATATATATAAGACAAGATTATATAAAATATTCAAATGGTTATATAATTCTGAACAATCTCACAATTTAGCATATAAAAAACATAACCTAATAAGAATTCAGTAAAATACCACGTAGGAAGAAAATTGGATTTAAGGAATTATACCTGGGAGAAAAAAATAGTTATTAAAACCAAAAGCAATGAAGCTATTCTTGCTTCCTCAAGAGAGTGGAATAATTATAGCAGAGAGAACAGAAACTTTCCTCACATTCACTTTGGCTTAAGAAACTCCACAGGGGATTAATACAAGATTTGAATGTAAGGCCTTTGCTTGGTCTTGCTAGGAGATAAAACCGAGGCCAAGCAGTGGGTCATTTAAAGTCTCTCTGAAGAATGCTGGAGCATAGGATACACATCTGTGCAAACTTATCTTTGAGAAATTAGAGTAGGCAAGAAAGTGAGATCAGATCAGTTGGTGGAGGGAAGAACAGGAAAGGTGGAGAGAACAATGGGGTGGAATCCAAAACAAAGCAGAATAGAAAGTCCACATGGTAGAATGGCAGACAGAGTCCTGGGTGGGCTAATTAATGAAGAAAGTGCCTGGTAAGAAATAGTGATGTCCAGGATCAGGCTTAAGTCATTTTCACAGATCCTCTGTGAATTATGTTTTAAGTAATCTAGCTCTCCACCATTGTCTGCTAATTAGAGGAGTCTGTGGGGTGTGTCTGAGAAAAACCAATGGGAAAATGTGTGGTATTTTACAACATTCAAAAGGAGAGAGAAGGACAGGGATGGAAAAAGACAGGGAAAGGAATGGAAGGGAAGAGAACAGAAGGGGAGGGGAAGGGAGTGGAAGGGAGGAAAGGGGCCTGAAGGGAAGGGAAAGGAATGAAGGGAAAGAAAAGGGCAGGGAAGGGAAAAGGAGGGGAGGGGAGGGGAGGGAAAAGTGTTTTTCTGGGGATGCTGTCTATGGCAATATATTGTTTATTAGCTAACAAAGCCACTGAAGATTAGAAAGCAATGCCAGCCACAGACATAGAAGCTGGGCAGTGGTGGCACACAGCTTTAAACCCAGGACTCAGGAAACAGAGACAGATGAATCTCTCTAAGATTCATCAAGGCCACACTGGTCTACATGAGAATGAATCAGTCTAAAAGAGAAACAGAGCTCATACTCTTAATCCCAACACTAAAGTGGTATGTAGGATAGGAACAGGACATTGAACATTCAGTTCTAGGCAAATAGTCTCCAACCACATTGAGGTCAGGATAATCACAGCCTTGGAAGAGGCAAGAGCTCTCTGGTGACTTGGCTGCTCTGCTTTCCTGATCTTCTCCTTGAATCTCAGTATCCATCTCTGAGTATCCATTTTTATTATTCATGCTATAGGTGTCCAATGGATTTCAGTCAATACACAAACCTGATGATAGGGTTGATAGAGGGACCCTGAGTCCTATACTCTCTGGAGACATGATAAATTCTGTAGGGCAATCTTGGTTCAGTCTCTGGATTCTCTGCAGATATGAGTTTGTGAGTTGAAGTTATTGTGTTTACATCCCAAAGGAGATCCTGACATCAGCTGACATCTGGATTTTAGGATTTTAGGGTTTTGCTGGTATTTTTCTCTACTTTATGAAATCCAGTGTGTTTTACTTAATGAACAATGGTGAATTAAATCAATGGGACTAGGATTTTCTTTTATAGAATTCCTTAAGTTCATGTTTTTCTTTATATTGAAAGAAAAATAAGGAGGGCAGAAACAAGGAGGTTAAGCAACATATCTAACAAAAAGCAAAGCTTTTATCACACTTTTGCCTGACTACAACGTTTACAATCTTCCTAGCAAGCCATGCTTGCTCCCACATTGTCAGCGGGTGCATTAATGTTA